CTTTTTTTATTATCCGTTAATTAAAAGAAGAAGAAATGGGAGTTTCGCTACTCATTTACACATCAACATCGTCGTTGACCCAGAAAAGGAAAGCCATCTCGTTCCCCATCATCCTCTAAATTCTTTTTACCAAACCCTAAAATTCCATCTTCTTCTTCACCGCCAATCACTGCCTTCTCTCTCTCCACCGTCAAAATCCTAAACCCCATCCTTCATTCTCCCTCAAATCTCTCCAATTTTCTCAAAATCGATTTTGAATTTACTTAAATTCCGTAAACCCTATATTCACATTGTTGCAAACCCGATCTTGTTGTAGCACAAGTTCAGAATTGAGAGGAGAGTTGGAGCTAACCAGAGAGAATTCAGAGGAAGTAAAGGTATGTTTTGTTAATGATTTCGACTTTCATTTCTTTCGATCTACATTGTGCACCATTTCACTTCAATTGAAGAAGATTCCTTCCTGGGTTTCATTGTTTAGTTTCGTAAGATTCAACATGTTTTGGTGGGTAGTTGAGTTAAATAGAGAACTGCTTGAAAGAAGCATTGAAACTGTAACTGAATCTTAGAGGTAACATTGAAATCATGACTGTTTGTGACCGATATAGAATCAGGATGCCTGCTTATTGCTAAAGTTTAGGTTTTTTTGGGTGAGTGGAGAGTTTCGTATCCAAGTCATTTGCTTGATACCCACCTTTTACTTCAGATTTACTCTTTCTTTTTTTTTTTTTTTTTAAGATCTGAAATATGGTTGTTTGAAAGGCTTTGACTTGATTTTCATTTTTATATGATTAGAGAAAGCCTAAGATGTTTGATTGTTGGATGCCTAAATTAGTGTTAATTATACTTAATCGTATGTAAATCTTGTTTATTTTCTTCTGAATCAGTGTTTGTGACTTTTCAATAACTAGAGGGTAACTTACCAGTGATTTAGAATCATCTTGTGAGCTGTTTTTTTTTTTTTGTTAATTTGAGTTATTAACATGTTCAGAATATGCAAATTAAACCAGTTTTTATTCTGCCATTTTCAGATTTTGACGGTGGTTTTGGGAGTCTTGGACCTTTTTTTAAATCATCCTGGTCTCTTTCTCTTATGTGGTGGTGCTTAAGTGGCTTTTTGTACAATATAAATGATCTAAATCAGAGAAAAGGTCTAAGATGAAGCTATCCAATATCCCTCAACGCTATGTCATAGTCTTCTTGACTTTCCTCAGCACCTCCGTCTGTTACATTGAGCGTGTTGGATTCTCTATTGCATACACCGTCGCTGCAGACGCTGCTGGGATCAATCAGTCTAGCAAAGGAACCATACTTTCCACTTTCTTTGTTGGCTACGCTTGCTCTCAAGTCCCTGGAGGTTGGGCTGCTCAGAAGATTGGTGGAAGGAAAGTTCTCCTTCTTTCCTTTGTCTTATGGTCATCGACATGTTTCTTGGTTCCTCTTGATCCAAACAGAGTAGGGCTCTTGGTTTTCGCTCGTTTACTCGTTGGTGTTGCTCAGGGTTTCATCTTTCCTTCTATCCACACTGTTTTGGCTCAGTGGGTTCCTCCTCATGAGAGATCTAGATTGGTTTCGATAACCACTTCGGGAATGTATTTAGGTGCAGCTTTAGGGATGTGGTTGCTCCCTGCTTTAGTTGAGCTTAGAGGTCCGGAATCAGTTTTCTTAGCAGAGGCATTAGCTGGTGTTGTATGGTCATTGCTTTGGATTAGGTACGCTACTGACCCACCTCGATCTGAGCATCCAAAAGCCGCTGCTGCTGGATTTGGAGGTGCTCTCTTGCCAACTAATGTTAACCACCATCATAAAGTTACTCACATCCCATGGAAGAAGATAATGCTCAGCTTACCCGTTTGGGCCATTGTGGTTAACAATTTCACATTCCATTACGCTCTATACGTGTTGATGAACTGGCTTCCGACCTATTTCGAGCTTGGACTACAGGTCAGTCTTCAGGGCATGGATTCATCAAAGATGGTGCCGTACCTCAACATGTTTGTATTCTCCATTGTTGGTGGGTTTATTGCAGACTATTTGATCACCAAGAGAATACTCTCTGTAACCAGAACACGCAAGTTCTTGAACACGGTTGGGTTTTTAGTTGCTTCAGCGGCTTTGATGGCTCTGCCTCAGTTTAGAACCGCGAATGGTGTGATCTTATGTTCCTCTGTGGCTCTTGGGTTTCTGGCATTAGGAAGAGCCGGTTTTGCAGTGAACCATATGGATATTGCTCCCAGATATGCAGGGATTGTGATGGGAGTTTCGAATACTGCTGGGACATTAGCTGGAATCATTGGTGTTGATTTGACTGGGAAGCTTCTTGAAGCTTCTAAACTGATCTACTCGGATTTGTCACATCCAGAGAGCTGGAGAGTTGTGTTCTTCATACCTGGTTTGCTCTGTATCTTTAGTACCGTTGTGTTTTTGTTGTTCGCTAAAGGAGAAAGGATCTTTGATTGAATGGGATCAAAGTTTACGAGAACCCTTATCAAGATTAGTTAGTAGAGCCCTCTACATTTGAAGATCCATGGAAACCGTGTACTCAGGCTCTTCATTGGTTATTCTTTTTTTGGTTTTGGTGAATAAACTTGAATCACACCAAGGGTATTATTATTAGTTTATCTTTCAATATACTATGAATAAGAATAAAAATATGTAATGTAAGTGGATAATCATTAAGGGGTTTGTAACTGGATACTGTAAACTTTTCGAGTTTCTGTATACGATAGTAAGAACTTAAAGCATCTCCAACTCCATTTTATTTTCACTCTAAAATAAAGTTTTAGAGTAAAAGTGTTTTAATGGTATTTTATATCTCATTTTATAAGAAAATGAAAAATAGGTTTATTTCAGATATAGAGTAACTTGTTTTTTTGTTCATTAATAACTTGTTTTTTGTTCATTATTCTATTTTTCATTCTAAAATAGAGTACTATTGGAGTAAACTCCAATTCTATTATAAAATGATTTTATTTTAAAGTAAAAAATAATGTAAACCATTAGAGATAGTTTTATGAGACAGTTATTAAATTCAAATGTTATTCATGCTCTATTGCAAAGCATTTGCGATCTGGTTGGGTTTGGAATTTATATATTTTTTTGTTTAGACATCAACTCAATTCAAATGTTATTCACGCTCTATTGCAAAGCATTTGTGATCTGGTTGGGTTTGGAATTTATATATATTTTTGTTTAGACATCAACTCGGTTTGGAATATTTGGTTTTGCTTTTAGATACAAGTAATTAAGTTAATTTTATGAACAAATTTAATGTTTGTTAATATGTATCAAAAATATTTTCTTTTGATATATTTTCGTTTATTTGATTAATTGCACTTCCTCCGTTTCATTTTATTTGTTCTTTTAGGTTTTTGCACAAATTAAAAAAATATTTAATTTTACATATTTTCAAAACAAAAACACAATTACATATATATCTAATCACATTTCGATCAATAAAATATATATAAAATTAATAAATTTTACATAGATATTATAAAATGATATTTGTTTTGAAATAAAAGAATTTTTTATAATAACATATAAATTGAGCAGAGGGAGTAAAAACTTTGGATTTGGTTCTGTTAATTCAATTGGCATACAAATTTTTCACTTCGGAGAAAGGGTTTTCTTCTCTCTTGAATAGTTTAATCTTCTTTAATACTCACTGTTACACAAATGAGTCATGCAGTGGGCAATGTCGATCAGGACTCAAAGACAAGTAACAACTAGAAACCGTTGACACGTTGGTCTCATGCCGTTGAATTGCAGTAAATTATACCTGACGATAGCTTCGTATATCTTTTTAATATTCGTTCGTTCAATAAAAAAATTGTTCTATGATTTACGAATTTGAATTATTATCATAGTAAACGTTGTTTTCTTTTAGATATAAGACTCATCATCTTTATAAATGCAGTTAAGTACTGGCCCTTTCTCAACAATAATTAGATGGCTAAGACCAATTATTAGCACAAAACTGTGAAGTTTTTTCTTTTTCTAGGTTTATATAGTAGTTATGGAGTTATGCTATCTATATGCAGATAATGAGAACATTATTCCGATATGGTAACGCTTATTAGAACACGTAACTCCATTGTGGGAATATAATTACTTCTTAACATGTAAAAAACAAATCAATTATTTTTCAGTTACCAAATTAGGAAGCCTATTCTTGACTACTCTTTTGTTTCTGTGCAACACAAAATTCCAAAATTAAATTTTCACTGAATTTATAATTTAATATTTCTACATCGGTGTTACTTGGAAAAAAATTTACACTTATAAGCTTCTGCAGACCTCACATCAGCTCTCATCAAGATCTCTAATACTCTTTCATTGCCAGAACAAGAACAATGCTCTTTCTCTGTAACTTCAAACTCAAGAAAACAAACACATTAAAGATGAGAACAGTTGAAGCCTTTGCTCTGTCTTTGTTTCTTTTGTTCTTAGTCAAATGGGCCAATTCTGATTCTAAAATTTCTCCTATTAGAGATCAGTTTCTTAGTTGCATGTCCACACATTCTGTTTCAACCTTCATGAACTCTAAAAGCTTGATCCACGAGCCAGATTCAAGACTCTACACTGATCTCTCGCAATCTGTATCCCAAAACTACAGATTCTCTAGCTTGAATTTCTCAAGCCAGAAGCCGATTCTGATCGCTACACCAAGAACAGAATCTGAAATCCAGAGATCTTTACTCTGCAGCAGGAAACTTGGCATGCAAGTAAGGACTAAAAGTGGTGGTCATGACTATGAAGGCCTCTCTTACCTCTCATCACAATCACCTTTCATCATTCTTGATCTCATCAATCTCCGAGCCATCGATATCAACCTCAGGGAAGAAACAGCTTGGGTTGGAGCCGGTGCCACCATCGGTGAGCTCTACTACAAAATTTCTAAATCAAGCAAGTTCCATGCCTTCCCTGCAGGAACATGCCCTAGTGTTGGAGTTGGAGGTCATTTTAGTGGAGGAGGGTTTGGTGCAATGATGAGGAAACACGGTTTAGCAGCAGATAACGTTGTGGACGCGCGTTTTGTAGACGCAAACGGAAGAATCTACAACGGCAGGGGAGAGATGGGAGAAGATTTGTTTTGGGCGATTAGAGGAGGAGGAGCTGCTAGCTTTGGAGTTGTAACTTCTTGGAAAGTGAAGCTGGTTAGGGTTCCAGAGAAGGTTACTTGCTTCACAAGGTACCTACCGTTTACACAAAACATGACAAAAATTGTTCATAGATGGCAATCTATTGCTGCAGTGATTGACAATGATCTCTTCGTTAGAGTCATACTCTACAATTCTGGAGGATCAGTTCAAGCTACATTCCAAGCAAATTATCTTGGAGGTATTGATAAACTGATTCCTTTGATGAATCAGAAGTTTCCGGAACTAGGGTTAAGGACTCAAGACTGTTCAGAAATGAGTTGGATTGATTCGATAATGTACTTCAATTGGAAGAGAGGACAACCACTAGAGACTCTTCTTGACAGGGAGCAAAGATACAATGATCTTTATTTCAAAGCCAAATCTGATTTTGTCAAGAACCCTATTCCTGAAACCGGTCTAGAAGGTATATGGAAGAGATTTCAAGAGGTGGAATCTCCTATAATGATCATGGAGCCATTAGGTGGTAGAATGTATGAGATTGGTGAAACAGAGACTCCATTTCCACATAGGAGAGGGAATCTTTATAATATACAGTATATGGTGAAGTGGAGAGTGAATGTTGTTGAAGAGATGGAGAAACATGTGAGATGGATGAGATTGCTTTATGGATACATGAGAGTTTATGTCTCTGGGTCACCAAGAGGAGCTTATCTGAATTACAGAGATCTTGATTTGGGTATGAATAAAGCAATTAACTGCAGCTTCGAGGATGCAAGTCTATGGGGGATGAGGTATTTTGGAAGTAATTTCAAGAGATTGGCTATGGTTAAAGGAAAGATTGATCCAACCAATTTCTTTAGAAATGAGCAGAGTGTTCCTCCGTTGATTGTGTGAGATTGAGAGTTAGACCCAAAAATGCAATGTGTGTGTATTTAGCCTTTGTTATGGCAATTATGGCTATACACTTTTTTTTTTTTTTTGGCTATACTTGTACATATGGTACTTGTCCTCGTGTGTTTTATTAGTGTTCAAGCTATCCGCAGACTGTCTATATATGTTCATGTTATGTGGTAATAATCGTTTAAAAATTAATCTCTCTTTTTTTTTTTTAAGTATACTTACGAGTAACGACATTTCACAAATACCCTCTTGTTTATTTCACATATCAAGAAACCATACAAAAAGGAAACCTCTAAAATGTTTTGAAACATATTTTTATATGTTTTAGCTGAAGTTTGAATTTGAACTAGGTTCAAATTTGCGTCTTGCACGGAATGAACATTTTGTATACATATTATTATTTATTATTTTGTGTTCATTTACGTGTTATGAGAAATGAATATATTAATAATTGAGCAACGGGTAACTATTATCTATATAATTAAACTGGAATATATACATAAATCCAAATAATCTCTCTTATTTATTTACAATAATTTTATTAGTAAATAAATCAAAATAATCATTTTATTTATTTTATATGGTATATAATTAAATTTAAATTATATGGACATATATATCTATATATATATATATATATTATATTTCAATATGAATATTTATAAATTTGAGGCTTTACACTAATATAATTTTATTAAACATTTGATATTTGCTGTAACAAACAATTACAACTATTAATCATAAAATCTTCAATGTGAAATTTTTAAAAGTTTTAGTAATTGATAATCATTTAAAAAAAATCAGTGCGAATTTCAAAATTAAGTTATTCATATTTCGATATTTTTCAATGTAAGAAATTAACATGTTTATGTATTTTTATATGTATACTTTAATTTTGATGATATTATAGAGATATATATATATATATATATATATATATATATTTTTTTTAAATAAGACTTCATATTCATATGATGTTATTATCATTTGTATCTTGTTATAACAAAAGAAAGTAGAACCACTGATCACAAAATTTTTAATGTGAGACTTTAACAATGTAGTCATTTATATTCGTTTTAAAAATGTTCAAATATAACATATAAGAAAAATATAAATTTTTATTATATGGTTAATGTGATTGTTAAATTTTTTAATAATATAAAATTAAACAAAAAATAATGAAAATACAAAAATTGTTATCAAATCGTTATTATTCAATATCAATAATTGTCATATATATGTTTATTATATTAAATGATTTCATAATTTTTATTTTAAAATAGAGAATAGATTTTTTTGTATACTACATAACCAATTTGATAATTAGTTTAATAAAAAATATAATTTATCTAAATGAACCAACTTATATTATGGATTTTAATAATTATATTCTAACGATGACACTTGGCTATCCTCAAATATTATAAAACTTCTCAATTAATATATAATAGATTATGACATTTCAAATATAAGTATATACTTTTTGAAATTTGTTTCAAATATAGTTCGACTTGGGTTATTATCGCCTTAAACCGGTCTCTACGATCATTGTTTTCTGTAATGTGCAGGAGGAATCTTGGCACAAGTAAATTTATGATCACAATAATAGCAATTGATTTAATGAATAATAACATCTAACAATATACGAGACATCATTTCATTATATGCTTAAATATTTAATTTTAAATCTTAATTTGATTATATGACAAATTAAATTTTTTTTTTTAAAAAAAAAAAAT